AAAATGAGGGATTGGTCCCTAAAACGAGGGATTTTGACCCCAAAATGAGGGATTTGGTCCTAAAAATGAGCTTTTCCCGCAAAGAAAAGAGGGCTTGGACCCCAAAGTGAGCTTTTTGTCCTCAAAATGAGAGGTTAGACCCAAGAAATGAAGGTTTCGACCTCCAAAATGAAGGCCTTTGACCCAAAAAGGAGGCATTTCAACCCCAAAATGAGCAATTTGGGGTTTATAGCCTAAAAATGCAGGGGTTTAGCCCCAAAGACCTAAAATGGGGGTTTGGTACCCAAAACCACGCTCTAGACCCTCACAATGTGGGGTTTTGAGGCAGCAAGCAGAGGTTTAGACCCTAAAAAGAGGAGGTTTGGGCTCCAAAAGGAGGGATTTGGGCCCAAAAAGGAGGGTTTAGAGCCAAAAAAGGAGGGTTTAGAGCCCCAAAATGTGGGGGTTTACCTTAAAAAGGGGGGATGGACCCCAAAAATGAGGGTTTAGGCCCTAAAACTGAGGGTTGATAGGGTAAAAAGTGCATTTTTTACCCTAAAACGGGGTTTAGAGCCTTAAAATAAGAGGTTTGAGCGTTCAAATTGGGGGTTGAGCCCTGAAAATGGGGGTTTGGACCCAAAAGTGAGGGTTTGGAGCCTAAAACCGCACCGTTTTACCCCAAAATATGAGTTGAGAGCCTAAAAATCAGGTTTTGGAGGCAAAATCGAGGCTTGGGGGTATTAAAAATGGGGGGTTTGGACCCAAAAAAAGGGGGTTTTGACCCAAAAAAGCAGGTTTCGGCCTCAGAATTGACATGGGGCCACATGACCTAGGGTGACACGTGTGCTCTAGTACATGTATGACGTAGCGTGACACCTGACACGTCACATGACGCCTGTGACACGTATGACACACGTGACATGTAACATGGGGCCCACGTAACGCACGTGCGGGTCCTCCCGGCCGCCAGGGGGCGGAGACTGGAGGGGGGGGTGGGAGGGGCTTAGAGCGAGGGGCGGGGCTTAGAGGGGGCGTGGCCCGCGTGAGACCGCCCCATCGCCTTTTAAGGCCGCCACGTGGTGACGTCACCCCCCCGTTGCCATGGTGATGGGGAAGCGGTGGGAAACAGCCCCGCCTCCCCCCTGGGGGGGGGGGGGGGAGCTCTTAAAGGGGCAATGGACCCCCTTTAGTGGGGCGTATGTGGGGTGTATGGGGTGTATGTGGGGTGTATGGGGTGTATGTGGAGTGTATGGGGTGTATATGGGGTGTATGGGGTGTATGTGGGGTGTATATGGGGTGCATATGGGGTGTATGGAGTGTATGTGGAGTGTATGGGGTGTATTTGGGGTGTAGGGGGTGTATGTGGGGTGTGTGGGGTGTATGTGGGGTGTATGTGGGGTCTGTGGGGTGTGTATGGGGTGTATGTGAGGTCTGTGAGGTGTATTTGGGGTGTATGGGGTGGATATCGAATACATGGGGTGTATGTGGGGTGTGTATGGTGTGTATATGGGGTCTATGTGGGGTGTGTATGGGGTGTATGGGGTGTATATGGGGTGTATGTGGGGTGTATATGGTGTGTATATGGGGTATATATGGGGTATATATGGGGTGTATATGGGGTGTATATGGGATATATGTGGAGTATATGTGGGGCGTATGTGGGGTCTGTGGGGTGTATTTGGGGTGTATGGGGTGTATATGGTATGTATGGGGTGGATATCGAGTACATGGGGTATATATGGGGTGTATGTGGGGTGTATATAGGGTCTATGTGGGGTGTGTATGGCATGTATATGGGGTATATGGGGTGTGTATGGGGTATATGGGGTGTGTATGGGGTGTATATGGGGTGTATGGGGTGTATATGGGGTGTATGTGGGGTGTATATGGGGTATATATGGGGTGTATATGGGGTGTATGTGGGATCTATATGGAGTGTATATGGGGTGTATGGGGTGTATATGGGGTGTATGTGGGGTGTATGTGGGGTGTATATGGGGTATATATGGGGAGTATATGGTGTGTATGTGGGGTCTATATGGGGTGTATATGGGGTTTATGCGTGTGTAGGGGGGTGTATTGGGGTGTATGGGGTTTATATGGGGTGTATGTGTGTGTAGGGGGGTGTATATGGGGTGTATGGGTATATATGGGGTGTATGTGGGTGTACATGGGGTGTATTTGTGGTGTGTGGGTATACATGGGGTGTATATGGGGTGTATGGATATATATGGGGTGTATATGGGGTGTATGTGGGTATACATGGGGTGTATATGGGTATATAGGGGGTGTATATAGGGTGTATGTGGGTACACATGGGGTGTATATGGGGTGAATATGTGGTATGTATGGGGTGTACGTGTGGTGTATACTGGGTGTATATGGAGTGTATGGGGGTCTATGTGGGGTGTGTATGGGGGTCTATGTGGGGTGTGTATGGGGGTCTATGGGGTGGGGGGGGGGTCTATGGGGTGTATGTGGGGTACAGCCCTGCCCCACACCGCAGGTACAACCAATGACAAGCGTTGACACTCACAATGTCTTTAATACAACGGGAGGAGGGGGACACCCGAACCCCCACCCCCCCAAACCCCACCTGTACCCAACAGCACCCTAACAACGCCCCCCAACCACCACCAAAGCACCCCCCACCACCAGCCCTGACCCCCAAACCCCCACCCTGACCCTGTGACACCCCACATTCATCCCCATGATACCCCTAAACCCCCCCAACACCCCAAAACCCAACAACACCCTCAAAACGACCCCCCCCAATCACAACCCGACCCACCGCAACACCCCACATCCTCCATCAGACCCATATGTGAGACCCCAAAACTCACCTGGACCCACACCACCCTGAAAAGAGCCCCCAAACCTACCCCAGGCACAACCCAACAGCCCTGGGGGGGTGTCGCTGTGGGGCTGTAGGTGACAGTGTCACCCAGCGGTGCCCCATAGGGCTGACACTCAGTGTCCCTCGTGGGGCTCACACTCAGTGGATGTGGGGTGGTCAATGCTGGCATCACAGTCGGTGTCCCCAGGGGGGTGACAGTCAACAGACACTGTCCTGGTGTCCTCAAGGGGGTGACAATGGGTGTCCCCCATAGGGTGACAATGGGTATCCTCAATAGGGTGACAATGGCTGTCCCCCATAGGGTGATAATCACCCACAGGGTGACAACTGGCGTCACAGTCAGTGCCCCCCATAGGGTGACAATGGGTATCCTCAATAGGGTGACAATCGGCGTCACAGTCGGTGCCCCCCATAGGGTGACAATGGGTATCCTCAATAGGGTGATAATCAGCATCACAGTCGGTGCTCCCCATAGGGTGACAATGGGTATCCTCAATAGGGTGACAATCGGCGTCACAGTCGGTGCCCCCCATAGGGTGACAATGGGTGTCCCCCATTGGGTGCCACTCGCTGTCCATGGCCATACCCCAGCCGTTGTCCTCGGGGGGTTCATGCCCCCACCACCAGAGCTGGAGCCGATTGTCCCCCCCCGGGGGGGGCCCTTCCTCTTCCTCCTCCTCCTCGTCACTGCCCCACGGCGCCGGGAACAGCCGCTGCCCCGAGGCCGTGGCCAACAACGGGAGCTCAGGGTGTAAACTGGGGGTGGGGGTGCCATGGGTTGGGGTGATCCCAACAACCCCAGGTACCCCCAGACCCACACATGTGCTCCCCCGGACCCAACAACAGCCTCACGGCAACAGCCGGACGCAACAGCCTGCCCCAAAGGGCGGCGCTTGGGGAGGGTGTGAGGGTGGTGCTGGGGGGAGATGGGGGTCGGGGTGTTGGGGGAGTGGGTCTCAGGGTGTTGTGTGGGGGGCTTGAGGTGTAATGGGGGGGGGTAGGGTGTTGGGGGGATATAGGGGTGTTGGGGGAGGGATTTAGGGTGTTGGGGGGATTTGGGGGGTTATGGGAGGGATTTAGGGTGTTGTGGGGAGAATTTACGGTGTTGGGGGGGCTATAGGGGTGTTGTGGGAGGGATTTAGGGTGTTATGGGGAGGATTTAGGGTGTTGTGTGGGCTATAGGGGTGATGTGAGAGGGATTTAGGGTGTTGCGGGGGGATTTAGAGTGTTATGGGGAGGATTTCGGGGGCTATGGGGGGCTATGGGGGTGTTGTGGGAAGTATTTGGGGTGTTGTGGGGAGATTCGGGGTGTTATGGGGAGAATTTACAGTGTTGGGGGGGCTACAGGGGTGTTGTGGCAGGGATTTAGGGTGTTGTGGGGGCCTATAGGGGTGTTGTGGGAGGGATTTAGGGTGTTGTGGGGTGTTATGGGGGGGGCTAAAGGGGTGTTGTAGGGAGGATTTAGGGTGTTGTGGGGGAATTTAGGGTGTTATGGGGAGGATTTGGGGGGCTATGGGGGGCTATGGGGGTGTTGTGGGAAGGATTTAGGGTGTTGTGGGGAGGATTTAGGGTGTTGTGGGGAGGATTTGGAGTGCTATGGGGGGCTATGGGGGTGTTGTGGGGAGGATTTAGGGTGTTGTGGGGAGAATTTAGGGTGTTGTGGGGAGGATTTAGGGTGTTGTGGGGAGGATTTAGGGCGTTGTGGGGAGGATTTAGGGTGTTGTGGGGAAGATTTAGGGTGCTGTGGGGAGGATTTAGGGTGTTGTGGGGAGGATTTAGGGTGTCGTGGGGAGGATTTGGGGGGCTATGGGGGGCTATGGGGGTGTTGTGGGAGGGATTTAGGGTGTTGTGGGGAGGATTTAGGGTGTTGTGGGGGGGATTTAGGGTGTTGTGGGAGGGATTTAGGGTGTTGTGGGGGGGATTTAGGGTGTTGTGGGGAGGATTTAGGGTGTTGTGGGGAGGATTTAGGGTGTTGTGGGGAGGATTTAGGGTGTTGTGGGAGGGATTTAGGGTGTTGTGGGGGTGTTCTGGTGTACGCGGGGCGCTGTTATGGGGCGTTGTTGCTATGGGGCGTCGCTATGGGGCGCTGCTGTTACCTGGTGCCGTTGATGCAGTCCCGCAGGGCCCTGAACCGCAGCAGTGGGGCCAGCAGTGGGGGGTCCCCCGGGTCCGGGGGGGTCCCCTCAGTGTCCCACAGGGTGACAAAGCCGCGGGTGTCACCGCTCACCAGGAACCGGCCCGACCTATGGGGGGGACACACAGCGGGCAATGGGGAGCCCCATAGATCCTATAGGGGCTATATAGGGGCTATAGGGGCTATAAAACCCTAGAGGGGCTATAGGGGCTATATAGGGGCGGTAGGAGCTATAAAGCCCTATAGGGGCTATATAGGAGCTATAGGGGCAATAAAGGGGCTATAGGAGCTAAAAAGCCCTATAGGGCCTTTAGGGGCTACATAGGGGCTGTAGGAGCTATAAAGCCCTATAGGGGCTATATAGTAGCTATATAGGGGCTATAGGAGCTATAAAGCCCTATACGGGCTATAGGGGCTATATAGGGACTATAGGATCTATAAAGCCCTATGGGAGCTATATGGGCTATAAAGCCCTATAGGGACTATAGGGGCTATATAGGGGCTATAGGAGCTATAAAGCCCTATAGGGGCTATAGGGGCTATATAGGGGCTACAGGAGCTATAAAGCCCTATAGAGGCTATATAGGTTCTATAGGGGCAATATAACCCTATAGGGGCTATAGGAGCTATATAGCCCTATAGGGAATACAGGAGCTATATAGGGACTATAGGAGCTATAAAGCCCTATAGAGGATCTAAAGGGGATATACAGGGGCTATATAGGGGCTATAGGAGCTATAAAGCCCTATAGGGGATCTATAGGGGATAGATAGGGGCTATAAAGCCCTATAGGGGATCTATAGGGGATCTATAGGGGCTATATAGGGGCTATAGGAGCTATAAAGCTCTATAGGGGCTACAGACGGTGTATAGGGCCTATAGGGGCTATATAGCCCTATAGGGACTACAGGAGCTATATAGCTCTATAGGGGCTATAGGGGCTATATGGTCCTATAGGGGCTATAAAGCCCTATAGGGGATCTATAGGGGATCTATAGGGGCTATATAGGGGCTATAGGAGCTATAAAGCTCTATGGGGCTACAGAAGGTGTATAGGGCCTATAGGGGCTATATAGCCCTATAGGGACTACAGGAGCTACATAGCTCTATAGGGGCTACAGGGGCTATATGGTCCTAGAGGGGTGGGTCACCTACGGGTCAAGGTCAAAGGTCACTCGCTGGTTGGTGGTCACGTGACGCTCCATGGCCAGCAGGGGGCGCTCCGGCAGCCGCAGGTCCCAGCACAGGATGTGGGTGTCCTGAGGGGGCGGGGCTAAGGTGAGGCCACGCCCCCCCTTGGCCACGCCCCCCTCACCCCCACCCCTTGATGGGCACTGCCCAATCACGAGGCTTCATCCCCTGGACACGCCCCAATATGGAGGCCACGCCCACAAAGAGGCTCCACCCACTCCTTTAAGCCCCTCCCTCTCAAGCCCCGCCCACCCTGCACCCCATTGGACAGCCCTGTAGACCACTCCCCATTCAACCCAACTCCTTTAAGCCCCTCCCACCCTAAGCAGCGCCCCTTAAGCCCCTCCCACCAATCAAACCCCATCCCTATAAGCACCTCCCATGCTCAAACCCCTCCCATTTAAACCCCTCCCACACCTAAACCCCACCCCTTTACCTCCTCCCACCTAAGCCACGCCCCAATCCTCCCACCTAAGCACCTCCCACCTTTAGCTCCTCCCACCTAAGTACCTTCACCAATCAAACCCCGCCCATTTAAACCCCTGCTAACCTTAGCCCCGCCCCTCCAGACCCTCCACCAATCAAACCCCTTCCCTATGATCGCCTCCCACCCTCAAGCCCCGCCCCTTTAAGCCCCTCCCACCTAAGCCCCTCCACCAAACCCCACCCCAATAACCCCTCCCACTTTCAATCCCCCCCACCCAAGCCCCGCCCCTCTCAACTCCTCAACCAATCAACGCCCGCCCCTTCTAAGCCCCTCCCACCCAAGCCCCGCCCCTCCAAGCCCCGCCCACCTTGCGCCCCCCCGCGTAGAGCCGGGTCCCGTCAGGGCTGAAGCGCAGGTGGGTGGGGGCCGCGGGGAGGCGGGGCCAGAGCGCCAAGGCCCCGCCCCCTTCCAGCGCGTACAGCCCCAGGCTCCGCCCATAGGAGCCGCAGGCGAACACCGGTTGGCTGGGGCTCACCGCCAGGCAGCCAATCAGCCCGCGCTGGCCCTGACCGCCCTCTGTGATTGGGAGAGCACAGGACACGACCAGTTACAGGCCACGCCCCCTCTAGGCTCCACCCCTTTCGCCTTCTCCCACATAAGGGCCCGCCCAATAAAGCCCCTCCCTCTTTAAGCCCCGCCCCTCCATTGTCCCCCCTTAAAGCCCGCCCCTTTAAGCTCCACCCCCTTTAAGCTCCACCTCCTTTCTATACCACCCTCTTTAAACGCCACCCTGCTTTACACCCGGTCCCTTTAAGCTCCGCCCCCTTTTAACCCTGCCCCTTTAAGCTCCACCCCCTTTAAGCCCTGTCCCTTTAAGCTCCACCCCCTTTAAGCCCCATCCCTTTAAGCTCCACCCCCTTTAAACACCATCCCCTTAAGCTCCACCCTTTTTAGATACCACCCTCTTTAAGCTCCACCCTCCTTTACACCCTGTCCCTTTAAGCTCCGCCCATTTAAACCCCGTCCCTTTAAGCCCCACCCCTTTAAGCTCCACCCCGTTTAAGCCCTGCCCCTTTAAGCTCCGCCCCTTTATACACCACCCTTTAAGCTCCGCCCCATACATTCCACCCCCTTTAAACCCCACCCCTTTCAGCCCCGCCCCGTTAAGCTCCACCCCCTTAAACCTCGCCCCTTTAAGCTCTGCCCCCTTTAAGCGCTGCCCCCTTTTGACACCATTTAAGCCCCGCCCCTTTAAGCTCCACCCCCTTAATCCCTTTAAGCTCCACCCCATATTCCACCCCCTTTAAACCCCGCTTCTTTAAGCCCCACCCCCTTTGATCCCGCCCCTTTAAGCTCCACCCTCTTTAAACCCCATCCCTTAAACCCCCACCCCATTTAAACCCTGCCCCTTTAAGCTCCGCCAACTTTAGACACCACCTTTGAGCTCCACCCCTTTAAACCCCGCCCCTTTAAGCTCCACCTCCTTTATACCCTGTTCCTTTAAGCTCCGCCCCCTTTAAACACCATCCCTTTCAGCTCCGCCCCTTAACCCCCACCTTTTAAACTCCACCCCCTTTAGATACCACCCTCTTTAAACTCCACCCTCCTTTACACCCTGCCCCATTAAGCTCCACCCCCTTTAAACCCTGCCCCTTTAAGCTCCACCCCTTTAAGCCCCGCCCCTTTAAGCTCCACCCCTTTAAACACCATTTCTTTAAGCTGAGCCCCTTTAAACCACCCCTTTAAGCCCCACCCCTTTAAAACCCATCCCTTTAAGCCCCGCCCCCTTTGCTCCCGCCCTTTTAAGCCCCACCCCTTTAAGCCCCGCTCCGCCCCCTTAAGCTCCGCCCTTTTTAAACCCCGTCCCTTTAACCTCTAACCTTTTTAAGCTCCGCCCCCCCCCTCTTTAAGCCCCGCCCCCTTAAGCCCCGCCCCTTTAAACCCCATTCCTTTAAGCTCCGCCCCTTTAAGCCCCGCCCCATTATGCTCCGCCCCTTCAAACCCCATCTCTTTAACCTCCACCCCCTTTAACCCTCGCCCCCTTAAGCTCCACCCCTTTAAGCTCCGCCCCCTTTAAACCCCATCCCTTTAAACCCCGCCCCCTTTAAACCCCGCCCCCTTAAGCTCAGCCCCCTTTAAACCCATCCCTTTAAGCCCCGCCCCTTTAAGCCCCGCCCCATTAACCCCGCCCCCTAAGCTCCACCCCTTTAAGCTCTGCCTCCTTTAAACCCCGTCCCTTTAAGCTCCACCCCCTTTAACCCTCGCCCCCTTAAGCTCCACCCCTTTAAGCTCCGCCCCTTCAAACCCCATCCCTTCAAACCCCGCCCCCTTTAAGCCCCGCCCCCTTTAAACCCCATCCCTTTAACCTCCACCCCCTTTAACCCTCGCCCCCTTAAGCTCCACCCCCTTAATCTCCACCCCTTCAAACCCCGTCCCTTCAAACCCCGCCCCCTTTAAGCCCCGCCCCCTAAGCTCCACCCCTTTAAGCCCCGCCTCCTTTAAACCCCGTCCCTTTAAGCTCCACCCCCTCAACCCCCACCCCTTGAACCTCCATCCCCTTTAAGCCCCGCCCCCTTAAGCTCCGCCCCATTAGGCACCACCCCTTTAAGCTCCGCCCCCTTACCCCCGCCCCTTGAACCTCCATCCCCTTTAAGCTCCGCCCCCTTAGGCTCCACCCCTTTAAGTTCCGCCCTTTTAAGCTCCGCCCCCTTACCCCCGCCCCTTGAACCTCCATCCCCTTTAAGCCCCGCCCATTTACCCCCCACCCCGTTCAAATCCCGCCCCCTTTAAGCCCCGCCCCCTTTAAGCCCCGCCCCCCTAAGCCCCGCCCCTCACGGCGCAGCGCCCGCTCCTGGTGGCTCCGCCCCGGCCGCTCCGTCGGGAAGATCCGCACGGAGCCGTCGCAGCCCCCGAGGAGCCGGGAACCATCGGGGGTGAAGGTCAGGGAGTGGGGGGCCACCGGCTCCTCCTGCCCCACACACACCCACAGGGACACACTGAGACCCATAGGGACCCATAGAGACCCACAGGGACCCACTGAGACCCATGGGGACCCATAGGGACACATAGAGACCCATAGGGACACATAGGGACCCATAGGGACACATAGGGACACATAGGGACACATAGGGACCATAGGGACACATAGGGACACATAGGGACCCATAGGGACACATAGGGACACATAGGGACACATAGGGACACATAGAGACCCATAGAGACCCATAGGGACACATAGGGACACATAGAGACCCATGGGACCCATAGGGACACATAGGGACACACTGAGACCCATGGGGACACATAGAGACCCATAGAGACCCATGGGGACCCATAGGGACCCATAGGGACCCATAGGGACCATAGGGACACATAGGGACCCATAGGGACACATAGGGACACATAGAGACCCATAGAGACCCATAGGGACACATAGGGACACATAGAGACCCATAGGGACACATAGGGACACATAGAGACCCATAGGGACACATAGGGACCCATAGAGACCCATAGGGACACATAGGGACACATAGGGACACATAGGGACCCATAGGGACACATAGGAACCATAGGGACCCATAGGGACACATAGGGACCCATAGGGACACATAGGGACCATAGGGATCCATAGGGACACATAGGGACACATAGGAACCATAGGGACCCATAGGGACCATAGGGACACATAGGGACCCACTGAGACCCACAGGGACCCACTGAGACCCATAGAGACTCATAGGGACCCATAGGGACACATAGGGACACATAGGGACTGTAGGGACCCATAGGGACCCATAGGGACCCACTGAGACCCATAGTGACCCATAGAAACACATAGGGACACATATGGACCATAGGGACCCATAGAGACCCCATAGAGACCCATAGAGACCCCATAGAGACCACATCGGGACCCATAGAAACCCATAGAGACACATAGAGACCCACAGGGACCCATAGAGACCACAGAGACCCCATAGAGACCCACAGGGACCCATAGAGACCCATACGGACCCCATGGAGACCCCATAGAGACCCATAGGGACCCATCGAAACCCATAGGGACCCATAGAGACCCATAGAGACCTCACAGTGACCCATAGAGACCCATAGACACCCCATAGAGACCCACAGAGACCATACAGAGACCCTCAGAGACCCACAGGGACCTATAGAGACTCACGAAGACCCACAGTGACCCACAGACATGGGTGGGGGAGCTCTGGGGGGTCGCTATGGGTCTCTATGGGGCTGCTATGGGGCGCTTGAAGGTTGCTATGGGCACTGGGGGTTTGCTATAGGTCTCTATGGGGCACTGGGGGGTAGCTATGGGGCACTTGGGGGTCTCTATGGGGCACTGGGGGGTCGCTATGGGGCACTTGGGGGTCGCTATGGGGCACTTGGGGGTCTCTATGGGGCACTGGGGGGTCGCTATGGGGCACTGAGGGGTCGCTATGGGGCACTGAGGGGTCGCTATGGGGCACTGAGGGGTCGCTATGGGGCACTGAGGGGTCGCTATGGGGCACTGAGGGGTTGATATGCGTCTCAATGGGTCGCTATGTGGCACTGGGGGGTCTCTATGGGGCACTTGGTTGCTATGGGACACTGGGGGGTTGCTATGGGTCTCTATGGGGCACTGGGGGGGTTGGTATGCAGCAGTGGGGGGTCGCTATAGGGGCACTGGGGGGTTGCTATGGGGCATTGGGGGGTCGCTATGGGGCACTTGGGTGTCGCTATGGGGCAGTGGGGGGTCGCTAAGGGGCACTTGGGGGTCGCTATGGGGCACTTGGGGGTCGCTATGGGGCACTTGGGGGTCACTATGGGGCAGTGGGGTGTCGCTATGGGGCACTTGGGGGTCACTATGGGGCACTTGGGGGTCGCTATGGGGCACTTGGGGGTCACTATGGGGCACTTGGGGGTCGCTATGGGGCACTTGGGGGTCGCTATGGGGCACTTGGGGGTCGCTATGGGGCAGTGGGGGGTCGCTATGGGGCACTTGGGGGTTGCTATGGGGCACTTGGGGGTCGCTATGGGGCACTTGGGGGTCGCTATGGGGCAGTGGGGGGTCACTATGGGGCACTTGGGGGTCGCTATGGGGCACTTGGGGGTCGCTATGGGGCTCACCAGGTGGTTGTAGGCACGGAAGGAGCCCCTCAGGGTCCCATCGAAGGCGTCCCAGAGGTGGACGGGGTTGTCCCGGCTGCTGGAGGCCACCCTGCCCAGTACAGACCAGTATGGACCAGTACGGACCAGTACGGACCAGTACGGACCAGTACGGACCAGTATAGAGCAGTATGGACCAGTATGGACCAGTATGGACCAGTACAGACCAGTACGGACCAGTATGGACCAGTATGGACCAGTAATGACCAGTATGGACCTGTACGGACCAGTATGGACCAGTATGGACCAGTACGGACCAGTAATGACCAGTATGGACCTGTACGGACCAGTATGGACCAGTATGGACCAGTACGGAGCAGTACAGAGCAGTACGGACCAGTATGGACCAGTATGGACCAGTATGGATCAGTATGGACCAGTACGGAGCAGTACGGAGCAGTATGGACCAGTACGGACCAGTACGGACCAGTACGGACCAGTACAGACCAGTACGGACCAGTACAGACCAGTACGGAGCAGTATGGACCAGTACAGACCAGTACGGACCAGTATGGACCAGTGTGGACTACTACAGCCCAGTGTAGACCAGTATGGACCCATATGGACCCCTATTGCCCCCATAGCCCCACTGCCCCCCATTGAACCCATAGCACCCCTTTGTCCCCCATAGCCCCCATTACCCCCATAGCCCCCATTGCCCCATAGCCCCCATTACCCCCACGGCCCCCATTGCCCCATAGCCCCATTGCCCCCATTGCCCACACAGCCCCCATTAACCCCATAGCCCCCATTGCCCCATAGCACCCATTACCCCAATTGCCCCCATTGCCCCCATAGCCCCATTACCCCATAGCCCCCATTGCCCCATAGCCCCCATAGCCCCCATTGCACCATAGCACCCATTACCCCAATTGCCCCCATTGCCCCCATAGCCCCCATTGCCCCATAACCCCCATAGCCCCCATTGCTCCCATTACCCCCATAGCCCCCATTGCCCCATAGCCCCCATTACCCCATAGCCCCCATTACCCCCATAGCCCCCATTAACCCCATTGCCCCATTACCCCATAGCCCCCATTACCCCATAGCCCCCATTACCCCCATTACCCCCATAGCCCCCATTACCCCCATAGCCCCCATTGCCCCCATAGCCCCCATTACCCCCACAGCCCCCATTAACCCCATTGCCCCATTACCCCATAGCCCCCATTACCCCCATAGCCCCCATTACCCCCACAGCCCCCATTACCCCCATAGCCCCCATTGCCCCATTACCCCCACAGCCCCCATTACCCCCCATAGCCCCCCATTGCCCCAATACCCCCATATAGCCCCCATTGCCCCCATTGCCCCATAGCCCCCATTGCCCCATAACCCCCATAGCCCCCATTGCTCCCATTACCCCCATAGCCCCCCATTGCCCCATAGCCCCCATAGCCCCCATTACCCCCATAGCCCCCATTGCCCCATTGCCCCACATTGCCCCCATTGCCCCATAGCCCCTATTACCCCCATAGCCCCCATTGCCCCATAGCCCCCATAGCCCCCATTGCCCCATAACCTCCATAGCCCCCATTACCCCCATTGCCCCATAGCCCCCATTACCCCCATAGCTCCCATTACCCCCATAGCCCCCATTACCCCATAGCCCCCATTGCCCCCATAGCCCCCATTACCCTCCCATAGCCCCCATTACCCCCATAGCCTCCATTACCCTCCCATAGCCCCCATTGCCCCCATAGCCCCCATTGCCTCCATTACTCCCACAGCCATTACCCCCATTACCCCCATTGCCCCATTGCCCCCATTCCCCCATTGCCCCCATTACCCCCATTGCCCCCATTGCCCCATAGCCCCCATTGCCCCATAGCCCCCCATTACCCCCATTGCCCCCATTGTCCCCATTACCCCCATAGCTCCCATTACCCCCATAGCCCCATTGCCCCATAGCCCCCATAGCCCCCATAACCCCCATAGCCCCCATTACCCCCATAGCCCCCATTACTCCCATAGCCCCCATTACCCCATAGCCCCCATTACCCCCATAGCCCCCATTGCCCCCATTGCCCCATAGCACCCACAGCCCCCATTACCCCCACAGCCCCCATTAGCCCCATTGCCCCATAGCCCCCATCACCCCATAGCACCCATTGCCCCATAGCACCCATAGCCCCCATTGCCCCATAGCACCCACAGGCAGGTCTGGGGCTCCCTGGAGTCCATGAGTGGGAACCAGGCGTAGTCGTAGATGGTGTCACCCTCGGGCACCCGCAGCGCCGGCTCCTGCACCCACACGGGGGGAGCGACAGGGACCCATAGAGACCCATAGGGACCCATAGGGACACATAGAGACCCATAGGGACCCATAGAGACCCATAGGGACCCATAGGGACACATAGAGACCCATAGGGACCCATAGAGACCCATAGGGACCCATAGAGACCCATAGGGACCCATAGGGACACATAGGGACCCATAGAGACCCATAGAGACCCATAGGGACACATAGGGACCCATAGGGACACATAGGGACACATAGGGACCCATAGAGACACATAGGGACCCATAGGGACACATAGGGACACATAGGGACCCATAGGGACCATAGGGACCCATAGGGATACATAGGGATACATAGGGACACATAGGGACCCCATAGGGACCCATAGGGACACATAGGGACCCATAGGGACACACAGGGACCCATAGGGACCATAGGGACCCATAGGGATCCATAGGGACACATAGGGACCCATAGAGAACATATGGACCCACAGGGACCCCATAGAGACCAGAGGGACCCATAGAGATCCTATAGGGACCCCCAGAGACCATAGGGACCCCACACACCCCACAGGGATCCATAGAAACCATAGGGACCCCAATAAAACCCATAGGGAAGCAACAG